AGCATTTATGCTTACAGTTGTTGTGTTATGTGTTTCAGGTACTAGCGAGGACCGTGGGAAGACACCGACGTGATCTGTACAAACTATCAGAGGATTTAGTTTATGATCTTGGGATTTATATGATTCGTATTATGTTACGATACATTGGATTTTTTGACTTGATTTGGATGAAAGCATGTTTTAAGAAATGAAAATTTTGTTTTGAAAATTCACGTTATTACACTTTGGTTTTGTAAGGGTACAATGTGAGTTTTTTTTGGTCTAAAAAGTCACTGAACCAGCTATTACAAGTTAAGAGGGACTATAAAAGCAGGTCATATCTTAGTTTAGGGACTCATAAAACCCGAAAAAATTTTAAAGACTTAAAAGGTAAACCCTAAAATGTTCGTAGTACTTTCGTATCATTTTCCCTAAATAATAATCAATAGTCCAAAAAACCATACCCAATACACAAGCCCACTTCTAGTTTACTCATGCGGAAGAGTTAGAGAGGGATAGGAGAAGAGAGAAAAAAAAGCAGAAAAATAAAGAAAATAAACAGAAATGTAAGAGGGAAAAACCAAAGGAGCAACGAATATGAGAACAAATCTTATCACCGGCATCCTCCGCCATCGATGGCTCTAACCCACCTCCATTTTCATCTTCTCTTCGTTGTTCATGAGATAACCGGTAAACATTTCTTATTTCTTTGTTTTTTTAGTAGATAACTAGATATGTTCCATATAGATGGATACAATTTATGAAAAGAAAAGTAGAAAACTTGTTTAATGTAAGGAGTAGTGATTTTTCTATATTTTACATCTATTATTTTAATACAAAATAAATATAATACAATCAAATAATATTAGTGAATTTAAGGAGAAAATTATAATTATGTATTATATTTTTTGGTTTGTATCTCAGTATAATTATATTTTATTTAAAATTTCATTAACGGTATGAAATGTTTTGTTTAGAAATTCTATTAATTTAGTTAGATTAAAGATATCAAATAACATAAAACCTAAGAAGATATTTGTTTGAATGTAGATAATATTAAATGGTTTTTCATTTTTATACCATGTACTTACTTTTTTATAGCATAAAAATTTTTATTTGAAATGTTTAAATATTGTAATTTATAAAATGTGTGTAAGGTATATTTGTTTTTATAATATGACAACCCGTTTATTAAATGTGTTGTGTTCGCTTGTCTGGATCTATCATTTTCAACTTAGTTAATGTTTCAACCTAATTCGACATGATACGAACCCGTTTGTCAGGCCTATGTTATTATATTTGATCAATTTTTTTATACCACTACTGCTAAATATTTAAGTGTCCGCTTCTGTTTGAACTTTTATCAATAACCAAAAAAAGTTTTTAATAAAATTAAAAACAAGATAGTACGGTTCTGAATCCATAAATGATTTCCTGAACGATTGAAAAACACTTTACGGTTCTTCTATGTCGATTATTATGCTTATTATAACAGATAAAAAGTGGTCACAAAAGATTTCTTTTTTCTTCAAAATTTAGTAGTTTTATCGCAAATTTTTATACTTAAACATTGACACTAAGAATTCCAATAAAGCCATTGGCAAATTTCATATCATAACAATTTTAACCTTCTATAATGGGTGAGGTTGAACTGGTCAACATGTCACATATATTTATTGACGAAAATAGAATATGAGCGTGTTCGGTAAAATTAGCTGGTAGTTGATGGTTTGTAGCGGGTAGTTTGTAGTTTGTAGCGTTTTGTTAAACGCTACATGAAGTAGCATTTGGATTTGGAGCATTTTGTTTAAACTAAACGTTAGAAGCTTGTACTGTCGAACAAGGCTTTCTGTTTAAAACGGAACGTTTTGTAAAACGCTAGAAGATAGAAACTCTTAAACGCTCTGTGCCGAACACTCCATATAGTTAAATCACAAAAATACCCAAATTATAATAAATTTATGTATTTAAGTATTTTATCCTTATTTTATATATATATATATATATATATATATATATATATATATATATATATATATATATATATATATGTCAAATTTAGAGAACTTTAAAATATTCTTTATTTGCTCTATCTTTGGCAGTGTTGTAAAAATCTCGATTAAGTCTCGATTAATCTCCAATTAATCCCTAGGCGTTACCCGACCGATTAAAGGACGACTAACTTTTAATCTCTGCATACAAAATGACGAAAATACTAGAAAATGATGAAATTTTAACACTTTGAAGAAATTTTATTCAATAAAAACCATTTGAAGAATGATTAATGTTGTATTAATCATATTAACATGTTTTATTAAGATATTAGTGGTATTTACGAACTTTGTTTTAAATATTAGTCATATTTAATTTTTGAAAATTTAACGAGTTAGCAATTAATAGTCCCCGATTAATCTCCCGATTTATCTCCGTCTAACCGATTAATCCCTTAACCTAGTCCACCGCCTAACTAACGTCGAACGTTTTTTACAACCTTGATCTTTGGTACGGTTTCCTAAATAAACTTTAGCTTAGCTATATTTTCAGACATTTATATTGGTCTATGATACTTCTAATCGTATAATGCCATATATGATACTTTTGTAATTTGTAGACTATTATGGCAGTTGTTATTAACTTATCATACGTGGATTCTAGTTAGTAGTAACTACAGATATTTCGTCCTAACTTTCTTCAACATCATTTATTGTACTTTGCTAAACTAAAAATAGTTCCTTTTTGTTTTTAACACAAGAAATTTCATTATTAATTAAAAATATTGTTAAAATACATTAGATCAAATAAATACTTTCTAACCTAAATAGCAATCATTTGTAAACTAAAAAAATGTTTAATTTTTGGCAAAAGATTGTTTAGATGATGATCGGTACTAAAGCAAAAGTCTCAGTAGGCCAGCATTCCGGCTCGACCGTTGTCTACCACCATAAAGGATTTACACTACTCTACCACTCATGATCCTACACGTGTCTAATCAACTTCATCTGACGGTCCAAAACCATCTCTACTCCAGCTAATAGTGGATCTCCCCATACCCTATCATAACAAAATTTAAAACTACGCCCCCATAATCTTTCTAGCCGTTAAGAAGATAAAACAAGCAAACAGTCTTCAGTCTTCACTTCCAACCCCATCTAAATCCCCATTTTTATCTCATTCATTGATCCTTTAGGGAATAAATCTTCTTGGTGGATACAGTTTCTGTAAGTTGAAGAAGAAGAAAATGAAGGGTGTAAAGGTGAAGCTCTTGAAGAAGTTGAAGACGATCAAAACAATCGGGTACCTGAAACCTGATCGAATTCTTCATGTTAATGCAGCCGATGGGCTTATCGATAATTTCTTTCCGAGACCAAGCAGTAAATGTGAATCCCTTTCGGTTCCTGAAGAAGGACAGCAGATTGAAAAAAAGAGCAGTGTTTCAGTCCAAGAACATGAAATCATTGATGTATCGGAGCTCATGAAGGATCTTCAAGATGACGATGGATCCGATACGGATAGTGTTGTCGAGGACAAAGAGAATGTTCGACCCGTTGGTGCCCCGGTTACTGATCATAAACTGGTCCATGCGAATTCCAAGATTCTTGCTGCTAAACCTTTGTCGGAGATTGACATCTCGTCTTTCCGGCCACCGGATTTAGATTCCGGCACACTTTTCGACCCGAATCTTCTAGCTGCTTTTGAGCAGGCGGTTTTGGAGTTTAAAGCACAAGAAGCAGAGAGGAGAAATAGAGTTTTACAGAACTTCGAAGACTATTTAGATCAAGAACCAGAGACAGAGCCGCCACTGAAGTCGCTGAAATTAGATGAAATCGAAAATCCCCTTTCGGATTTCGAGAAAATCTGTCCGCCTGGAGGAAAAAATTCGGTGATTCTGTACACAACAGGATTCAGAAGCATCAGAAAGACATTCGAAGATTGCTCCAGTATCCGATTTTTACTTGAAAGTTTTAGGGTTTTATACCAAGAACGAGATCTATCCATGCACTTGGATTTCAGAGATGAACTATGGCGGATTCTGGGCCGAAAAGTAGCACCGCCGAGGCTGTTTATAAACGGTAGGTACATCGGAGGAGCAGAGGAAGTTTTACGGTTGCATGAGCAAGGGAAGTTCCGGCCACTATTGGCTGAAATACCGCTAAAGACGTCGGAAGGGCCATGCGAAGGGTGTGCTGGAGTTCGGTTTGTGGTGTGTTGTAATTGCAGCGGTAGCCGGAAGGTGGATTCCGGTGATCAAGGATTGCCGGAAAAGTGTACTGAATGTAACGAGAATGGGCTTACCAGATGCCCTGTTTGCTGTTGAAATGGTTCCTATGTTGCGTGTGTTGTCATTATCAGTTCATGACAAAATGTTTGAATATTGTATGCTTTTTTTTTCACTTCTAAATTCTATTCATTATTTTTGTTTCTTTCATTGTTTTATACAATAATTTATTTTGCTTTTCTATTCAAAATTCATTTGAATTGTTTGCTTTTAAAGTTAAGTGTAATTGGTGCATAATATCCATATGGCAAGAGTTTTTAAAGTTCTTAAAGGTTTTACAACCCAATATATGTAATTATGTAAATATATTTTATTCTTATATATTCTCCTAGCATTTTTTTTCTAATAACAATAACATTTTATTAATTTTATTAAATATGACAAATATCATTATTTGATTTCTTATATAATACTTTTATATTCGTTTTCAATCATGTTTCAACATGGTAAAAATAAAATGTTAGCACGTTGTGGTTGTATTTTGTAGAGAATAAAACACTTAAAAATTTGAGAGATTTATACGTATTAAACATTTACATTTATAACTTCCATCCAAGACGTGAACAACCGCAAAAGTCTCACAACCATGTTACAGACTTTCACTCGTACAAAAACGCCTACCAAAATAAACACAAGAACGAGAATTTTACTTTTCAACCCGTTCCTTTAAAAACACGCACAATTATCTTTAGGCCAAAAGTGTTAACCTACAAAAACAATTAACAAAAAGTTAATCTTTGTTATTTCATATTGTAATCGCCATTGTCTCTGTCTTTGCTTCAACCAAACACTCAGTGTGATGAAACTCAATTTGCAGCCTATGATGTACAAGAGGTGTCGATGACGCCATCAACCCCTTCTTGAGATCCGTCTGCAATTCCCTTATGGGAATTGCAGCCAAAAAGCTCTTTATATACTCCTTACACGACTCTTTCCCTTTGCACACGAACTCTTTTTCGCTCTTCTCCACACTTGAAGTGTCTTCACTACTTTTACTTTCACATTCATCGACCTTTTCTCCTTCCGTCTTCTCATTTGACTTTTGAGCATCAACTTGTACTACTACTCTCTCAATCACCGTATCTTTATCAAACTTCAACACATACGCCTGATCACAACCCTCATAAAGCCTCTCCCCCAACGTGTCAATAACATAATACGCATCATGCTCAACTTTCAACACAAAAAAGTGGTCATTCCAGCTCACGATATACACCAACGGGTTCATGTTCATGTTCATGCCATCAATGTTACTAATTTCATCCCATATGCCATCAAACGACATAGCCCCATCAAGAAAGTGAAGATCACCTTCACCCTCTTCAAGTTGAAAAAACCCGATAAACGACTTCTCCGGGTTAACAGAAAGATTCCGGATCTTCGCTTGGAGAACAGTGTCAAGGTCAAAATGTTTATCCGGAAACCGGGCCCGATAAACTTCATTCCCGCAAAGATTCCTCCACTCTAACGACCCGTCTCGAATCAAACTATCCAATTGGGATTTAATCGGCATTTCATTCGGGTTATTTTGGAACCAATCGGCTATAACCGCGACTAAAGCCGTACACGCGCTTTCACCTGCTGCTCTTTCGCTTCTTTGATCAATCGACGCGAAGAAAACTTGCGTCTCAAGTTTCATGTGTCCGTCTCGGGACACGACCTCTTTCTTCTCCCATTTCCCGACTGCAAAATTATCGTCTCCAAATTCAGAGATTGAGGAATGGTCTTCGTTTGACTTTTTCACTCCATAACTTGACTCGTCTGAAGAACTCAACATCCGGCGATCAAAGTCGATGTCATCACCGCCTTCTTCCCCGGAATCTTTCTTCAAAAGTGGCTCCCCTTTGATTTTCGGTGACCGGAAACTCAACTTTCGTTTCCTCCATGGGAAGATGATGCTTCGTTTTGGGAGGGTTTCTTTTTCTAAAGGATCGATGATGGATTCAGTCGGATACTCGGATTTTTCTTTGTAGTTTCGGTAGTATATCCAGTCTTCATCTTCACTAGAGCTTGAATTGAAGTAAGATAAGCCTCCTCCAGCGTGATTTGCATAGGCTAGGGTTCCGTAACTGAAAGACTTACGAGCAGTGGATTCGGCATCTTTGACTTCTTCAGAGTCGACTTCATCTCCTTCAAGTGAATCGGTGTCAAACGGGTAGTCTGCATCGTAACTTGTACCTGAGCTTTTTCCATCGCTACTACCCTCTTCTTCATGACATGGCTTTTTAGCCCGATTAGCTGAGGATATAGCCCGGAAGATTTTAACTTTCTTAAGGCCCGCTTTCAGGCCCATGGGCTCGTTTTTCTCTTTCTCTGTAATCGAGAGTTCTCCATTTTGAGGTGTCAATGGAAGAGGTATAATGGATCTTTGTGCTTGTTCTGTATTCTCGTGTGCAATCCTCAGCTCTTGTAGGCTTAGAGATACCTGAAAATTCAATCAACAAAGACTAAATACACAACCAACGATCAAAGAATATACCTAAAATATTCTTTTTGATATTGAAAATGGTTAGTAGGTGAGAGAGGAATCACTCTTTCCACCAAATATTATATTACACACCAGTTGAATGATTTATTTTGGTGTAATGTAATGGGTTTTACAAATTGATTTATTTAAAAAACATCATTAATCTAGATTCTAGAATACACTTTATACAGACAAAAGTTAATGGGAAAAAGAAAGAAACGGGCCCTTACATGAAGTATAGGTCCAGCCTCTGTTATGCCACTACCCATTGAAAGTGGAATGCTTATATCGATCTCATTTTGCTCAGCAGAAGAAGAAAACTCCACAAGATCTAACAATCCAGTTGCAATAGAAGAGTACCCCTTTTTTGGTTCTTGATTTAAGTCCTGATCACAAGAGGAGAAATAAACTAATTAGCCAATAGAATAATTCAAAGTCAAACTATGATCTACTTGCTGTTCAAAAAAAAAAATAGTCAAACTATGATCAATATGCATACGCAATAAAGATATCATCATATCAGTGTATTAATTTGCTGATCGAGAAACTTAAAGTTTATATACGGTTGAAGACAAGAGGAAGCTTCTTTCTGTAGAGAAATATGGTAAAGTTATTTAGGGCAGGTTGCTTACCAAGTCAACTTTGGTAGGAAAAGTACAAAAATATTAAGAAATAGAATTATAATTCCTTCTTGATTTAATTTAAAGATAAGTTCTTCGTCATCCTTGTTCATGTGAGACTCTGTAGGAAGGGCACGTTAAAAGATGGATATGAATAATTAAATGCCAACCATAGCCTACAATTGGTAAAATACTAAAAAGGCTACCCTCTTTTATTGACATATGTTCAATATCGGAATACTCAAAGTATAACTTTTTCTTCTTTAACCAAAACGAACCACTTAGAGGTGTACGCGTATCGGTCTCTATCCTGATTAATGGAGATGATCAAGTGATCATATAATACCGGTAATATCAGATAATTAAATTCGAGATCTTTATTATCTTCTACATTTTAATATTTGTTAATATTTCGAGGTCTTTATTATCTTCTATATTTTAATATTTGTTAAGATTTATGATTATTTTTTCCTGTAAATCGAGGCCCTTTTGGGGGGGAAACATGGGACATATGCTGGTATGCAGTTATTATTGATCCAGTATATGGCTTTTAGCTAAAGATATGATCTGTTAATCGGATATAATTATTAGTTGAATGTGTAGGAAACTTAATAAGGAGAAAAAAAAAAATTTGGAAATTATATTTATTGAAATTGACATCTATGAAAAACCATCCCAATAAAGTCAAAACAGATCTTCAAATTCACTGCTACATGAATAGTCCCAGAGGAAAACCACTCTGATGTTCATATAAAGTCAAAACCAAACAAAAGTTAAATGAAGAATTTATGAATTTATCCAAGATTCTTCCAAAAAAAGATAAGTTGATCGGTTTCCGATTAGGCTTGATTGATGAAATTTCAATTCAATTAAAACTTGTAAATTTAGGTCAGGATGAAAAAGTCAGGATAAATTCTTGGAATACAACAAAAACGCAAGAGAATTATCATTAGAAAGAATAATATAATAAATTAAAACCAGACAAAATATATTATGATTATGTTAATTGGATGAGGACTTACATCGAACACCGTGAATGCAACTTCCCACTGATGAAAACCCCCATCTTTTAAACCCAAGAAATTGCAAATAGTAACAAATTCTTCATTCCATTCGATAACTCCATCATCCTTCAAAGATCCTTTCTTTGTAACATTCCTCCTCACACTTCTTCGCTTAAAACTAAGCGGATTGTTGGACTTATTTGACCCTTTCCACTTAACTTCAACAGCCAATCTTGAAAGATCTTGGGAACCATCGTCGGTGATTGCAGTATTATCAGGCAAACCTTGGAGATGACGGATGATAATCTTGGTTTCAAATTTCTTGGATGAAAGCGGTGGCCATGGCCTCCATTTCATCATGCCCACTACCATCTTTTTCAATTTTGATCGTTGGCTCCGTGCGTTTGAGACTAAAATTGGGAATTAGGTGAAGGAGATGAGAAGAAATTTTTGAAAAGCAGTTGGAATTGAATAGGAGAGAGAGAGAGAAGAGTATGTCGTGTTTATAGAGGGAGGAGAGATTCTTTATAGGTATATGCTGCTCTTTTGTGTGTGTGTGTGTTGTGGGGTGGGGTGGGGTGGTGTGGGGGGAAGAGGGAGGAGGGAGGAGGGAGGAAGGGGGCCGGCAGCACCGAATAGTCGCACACAACATAATCTTAAACAATGACATCTTGAGTTGAGAATTTCCACATCAGTCGCTTCATCTACTTGTACGCTATGCTTTCATGCTTGTTAGTTGGGGATCTTTTTTCATGCCCATCTCCTTACATTACGTGCTTTATTATTATTTTTTAATATTAATATGATTTTCATTTTGAACGTTCAATTAAATTTGCAATATTTTTTTTGTAGGAAATTCTAAAAACATGAATTTTTTAATCAACGAGATATATATTTTTGTAATAAACCAACAAATGTTTCATAACAAAAACAAATATTTTTAACCAAGTGAAAAACAATATTGATTTTGAAATAAACATCCCTATTTGTGTTCAAAAATACTTGTCTGTTCAAAAAAACAGGTAAAGTGATGTATAGTTGAGTTAAATCTATTATGTCCCATTGAATTAGATTCAACTTCATAGTAGATGTAATAAGAGAGATATTAGAAACTATATGATCCAATCAAAGGTTTCTAACTGTGATATAAAATGATATATATCTAATCGAAAAGATCTAATAAGAATCATATCAAGCAACTAATAAATTACTTACAATAGAAAGTTCTATTAAAAAGATTTCTCAAGAAAAATGCATAGGTTTCAAATGGTGCCAGTGAATTTTAATGTAATTTTAACTATATACTAACATAATAATTAACCAATAAAATATTTAAACCATTACAATTATTTTATATATATATATATATATATATATATATATATATATATATATATATAAAATAGGTGTGAGACATGTGTATTATACAATTTATACATTTTTTTTAATATAAAGTGATATATATATATATATATATATATATATATATATGATAATTTTACATAAAATCGGAGATGGGGGCGGGGGCGGGGGCAATGTTAACTCACGTTTTAGTTTCGGTGGCGGGGGTGGGGGTGGGTAGTCCCGTCCGAACCCCAAGTGGGGACCCCGTTAATATATTATTTATATTAATATATATTAATTATAAAAATATAATAAATAATAACAATGATATTAATTTTCCAAAATTCAATTAAATATCATGTTTTTAAGTTTATAGTATACCGTTTTTAAGATGTTATAATATTTTTATTTTAAATATATAAATTTATGTTATAAATAACTATTTTTATCCAAAATAGTTTCTTTTAACTCAAAAAATAAATTCTTTTAGCCTAAACAACACCTTCGTTTACCAAAAAAAAAAGTCAACCCAAACGGGGGCGGGGGCGGGGGTAATCCTGGGATTCGAAGGCGGGGACGGGGGCGGGGGAAAAGGAAAATTTTGGGGGTGGGGGCGGGGAATGCAATCCCCGCCCCGTTTGCCCCCGTTGACATCCGTATATATATATATATATATATAGAGAGAGAGAGAGAGAGAGAGAGAACACAAATAAAATTAAAATGTACCCACTTATAAAATGATGATAAATATAATATTATAAACAATAAAGATCATTTAATTTAAACGTGATAAATGTATACCGGTAAAATGATGAATAACCAAAGAACTTAATATATATAAAAAAATAACTATTGAAATACTGACACTTATTTTTATGAATCACAATTTTTCAAATACTCTTTTAATTACAACATTAGATGTCGTATTGATAAGTTTTACCATTTTTATATAAAATTAATATTTTTAACCCATCTTTATTTTTAACTATTGATAATGCAACATACAACTGTAGAAATAATATTATGGAAATTTACGAAAACAAATAAGAAATAGGAAAAGTTGAGGCATGTGTTTAGCACATTGTCCTTAAAACAAATTCATCTGCTATCTAATGTTTGTTGCTCATGATACAACAATTAGAAGTGGTTCTTCTAGACCACCCAAACTCTCGTTAGGTCGGGATTTTACCTTTAATTCACCAAGAAAACTAAGAATATGTAATGGAGAAGAAGAGAGTTTTTTTTATTCATATTCTGGTCCTCAAATGGTTGTATAGTAGTATTATTTACATTGCACATTCTATAACCTCTCATTTAAACACCTCTATTAATCACAAAATTAATGTGTGTTAATATGTAATTAAATTGTAATATTAATTACAATTTCAGTTACAAAGGAAAGAAATATCTGCATGAAAGGTCCCTAGACTTTTCTTTTCTTTCTCTCAACCATTAAACTCTTTTTATTTACTTCTTCCAACACCATTAATTTATCATTCATATAAATCTATTTTGGACATGTTAAAAAAATGGGAAAAACCCCACTTTTATAAATTGGTTAACACCAATTTTCCAACAACAACTATCCATGCGTGAATAATGGTTGTTTAAAAAACAACATGATGCGTGCAAATTATGTCTAGCTAGCTACACCTAATTTTATATTTATAACCTAACTAACTTAACTAACTAAATTGCACATAAGCAGTGTACCTAGTCAAATTATAGAATAGTCGGGTAAATCGGGTGTCAATCACAGGGAACAATTTTAACTAATTAATCTATTTACCAGTAAATTAACCTAATTTTCTAGCAAAGTGGGGAGTTTTATCTAATTTTGCAAGTTTAGATGAACTTAACTCTTAGCACACAATTCAATTAATTAACAAACACTTCTGTTAGTTCAAATTCACTTTCCCTTAATGGTTTATAAATTAGTTATGACAATTACTGTTGGTTACAAATTAAGATAGTATTAGCAATTCAGTTCTAAATTTACTAACATTTATTAATTCATGTAATCTATGATGGTCATACAATAGTTAACATAGAATCAATTATTAAATGGAATTGGAGCCACGTAAGATTGATTTGAAATACACACTTATGGTCATAATATGAGTTCTCTAGCACTGTCCAATTACTTATCTAAGATTGGGTTGATCTTATCTCTAATAAACTAGTGTTCACAAACTTATTAGGTATTCAAATTAATGCAACTTCATATTCACTAACTACACAGAACAGAAATTTAAAGCAATCAAATATTAAATCAAATATGCTAGGTTCAAGTAAATCAAAACTAAGTTATTGAAACCATGAGTTCCAACTTCATCTAGCTAATAGAAGCAGCTAGATTTAGCTGGACATACTAGCAAACAAACTCAAATAACTCATACTCAAAAACATAATTAAAGTGTATCAAATTATTAAGCTAATATGAACTCTTCTTTCTTCCTTGGTAAGTAACTTAATTCCAGACTTCTTCTCCCTCTGAATTTCGTCTCCAGGAACCCTCTAAGTTGGCCAAAAGTCTCTCGAGTCGTAATGATCAAGAGTATATATAGTTATCATAAAATTCGCTCTCAGGTCGTGAATAAGTATGACTCACGACGTGAATGCAGTAGATATCTGTGTTCTACAAGGATTCCTCCTTCGCGATGCTTATCTTCTGGAATAGTCCCACTCACATCGTGAATACTAAATATTCACGTGGTGAGTACGTGAATTCGCTGGATTTTCATTCTTTTAAGTCTTCATCTTCCAAAGTTCCATCTTTTGATGCTTTTAGTTCCTTTTCTTCAAAATGTCTTCTATTTGGCTGCAATATATATTTTAACCTTATAAGTACCATTTTTCAATGCATATAACCAAATTATTAATAAAAATATAAGTAAATATTGCCTAAAAACATGTATAAATATGGCAATATCACAACACCACCTTCGAAAGTGATTTTCCTTGACTTTTATTTATTGTCATCGCAAAACATATAATGTAACGTCCCAAAAATATTAATAAAAGTTTTAATATTTAAACCATCAAATTCATACAAACATTTGTTCCAAAACCAATCATAATAAAATATATCTCTCAAACATCAAAGTAAAACAATAATAATTAGCACGGAAAAGCCATAAGAAGGTGTTGTGCAATCAAGTCCAGCCTTTAGAACTGGAAGTACCTCGAAATATTTAAGCCACAAAACCTTAAGCATAAAACTTAGTGAGTTCCCCAAAATACCACATGCCATATATGGGATAGGGAATGTTATGAGCTGATCCATAGTCTTACTGTTACGATTAGCCATGAGCCAAATCATGGTCTTTCCTTACAATGTCGGGAGCCAAACTTTGATCTTACATACAAGTATCAAGAGATACATCTTGGTCTTACATGTAAGCATCACAAATACAACTGGCATCCTACATACAAATATCAGGGCCAAGCCCAGGTCTTACATAAAATTTTGAGCAGCCAAATCCTGGTCTTTTATATAATTGTCAAAAGACTCACCTCGCATACGTAGTCAATAACTATCAACTCTCATAATCAAATGAATGGGTGCTATACACCTCATAATAAACCACACAAGGTACACTCTTAGTTCACATTCCAAAACTAGCCAATTGACCAAAAGTCAACCAATTCAAAAGTCAACAGTCAAAATCATCATCGGTTGACCTTCACGTCGTGTCCAATTCATGGCTATGTCATTTCTCACTCCAAAAAAAACAGTCGACGGTTCCCTCATTGCCACGCTGTGGCGCCCTTCATTTCACATCGTGGCTATTGCTTGAGAACAACTAAATAGATTGAGTCCTTAATCCATTAAGCCTTCAACTCCAACTTTCCATAAAGCTTTTAGGGACTCTAAAGGCTCATCAAATCCAAACTTTATGGACATGCATGTCACTCTCTCATCTAGGTCAACAATGGAAGAAATGGGGTCAAAACCCCCATGTATGAATTCAAAACTACACAACTCTTTAGATCTAGAACATCTAGCCATCTAGGGACCTCTATGACCAATAAAGCTGTCAAATTTATTGAATCTATCCATTCGACACATCAAGAACATGATGAGGAACCTTTTAAACCTAGATCTACAAGAGGCAAACCAACAAGATCAGAAAAAAGGAAACTCACAAAGGTCTAGAAGTTTCTCAAATGAAATCTATAAGCTTGCCAAGAGGTACTCTACACAACAAGGGTCTTCTTCTTCCTTCCAAATGCACCAAATC